TTAACACGCAGAAAACAAAAGCTATTTTTGTTTTTCAGCAACAGTATTTTTCTGACTCCTTTATCTCCTTTAAACATTATATTATAATGTGATGAACTACTACTTGTTCTGCAAGCAAAAAAATGAAACGTAGAATACTTAATTACTATGAAAGAACAAATTAAATAAAGGGGAAAATGTCATTGCCTCTACCTACCTCTAAAATAATGAAATATGCTTATAAATAGATTTGTTTAATACATAGTTCATTCTAAACAGACTTTATTTAGTCAAATTTTTCAAAGTTAAACCCACAAAATGTGACTAAGATCAGGTCCAGAAAACAAAGACAAAAATTCTGAGACAAAAGTCAAATTCTGATTTCATTCTTTGATCATCTGTGAGAATTATTTTCATGCCAGCAAGCATACCCAAAGGCTTTATTACAAGAAGAAAAACAAATTGGACACTATAGGTGACAGCATCCAGGATATTATGAATACGCTGATAATAATTAACATTACATGCGAAGCTAAGACAAGGAAGAGAGTATTATATACAGAATACAGAAAATATATTTAAAATAAAATAAAATCAAGACTAAGTCAGTAAAAACCTAAGCAAACATCTGCATGATGTAGCAACTGTTTGACAATGTTCAGTGTGTTACAGCAGAGAACTGATGACAATGCATTCCTAGTAAATTCAAACAAAAATATTTCTCACAATGAAATAATTGGAAGAAAACAGACTAAGGCTGGCATGACATTGCTTTAGCCTTATTTTATTGATATTTACTAATTACACAAAATTATATATTATACAAAGGGCATAAGAAAATAGCTACGGAAAATAAGCAGCTATACCAAATAGCCTGTAATTTCCTTTTTCATAAATTGCTATATCTAATCACCTTTCTTCTAAATTATTATTTCCAACTGAATAGTGCTTGAACAAGAATCTTGTATAATTTATGAGCTATTACTAAAAGTGATACATTAGGGCTCCTGAGAATTATGTAATATTAAGAGATGTTAAAATTATATTTCTTCCTCAGAGATTTAAGAGAGAGCTTTAAGAGTTGCGTCCTTTGCCAGAAACATCAGCATTCACGTTAAACTCTCACTAGGCTGCTTAGCTCATTAAGTTTGCCTTTTTTTTTAAGTGCACATAATGCTACAAGCAAAACACAAGTCTGGACTCAAACTGCATGAATATCACGGCTGTCATTTTGTTACTCACTTCTTGCCTTTGCCTTAAAGCCGCACATAAATCACTTCCAGGTACCTTTATTCTTTTCTTTTCTCTTCAGTCTCCTAATCCTTCAGTCAGCCTACAAATCTCACCTTGCAACTTTCCTTGTTTTCATGTCCATATTTTTTACTTTGCTGCCCAAACCATTTTGAGTGCCCTCAGCAGTCACACTGCACACCAAGTACTACATGACCCACTCACACCCCTCCTGCGGATTCACTGGTGTGGATCTGATACAAGAAATAAAAGCCTCAGAAATAACAAACTGTTAGCAAAACCAGATCTTTCTGAAGCAGCATCATTCTCTGAAGTCTCATAGGGACTCCTTGGCTGTATTTTAGTATAGACTACAGATCCCTTGGGGCAAGAACCAAGTAATTTATGACATAATTTTTAAAAACGGCATTACACTAATTCATTCTTCAAAGAGATATCCTGAGATAATTGTACCTATCACCCATCTAAATCCGCAAACAATATGCTATCTATCAAAAAGAGGTAACTGTCAGTTAAGGTAACTTCCCAGTACCATGCACACAGGTCACTCAGTAATCTGGTCTGCTCACATCTGTATTTCACAAAATCAACATAGTCAGGGCAGTTTAAGCATCTAATTCACAGGTGTTTAAGGTAATCCTGTTGGTATTTTCTCTGAACACCTCTAGTAACCGTTTTCACCCGCTGCAGGGTGCGGCAAACAGAGACTTTAAACATCCCAGTTTGCATGCCCTGGGAGCCTGCTTCAGACGACATGGGATTGTGCCACAACCATGGGCGGAACACTACAAGGCTCCATCCCCTGCACCCACTGAAGAACACACCCTGGGAAATCAGAGGCCTCAACTGAGACAGTGCTCCAAAGGGAGGGAGCTGCTACCCAGGACTCGGGGTGCAGGGTGACACTCTGGTTGGGGCACCGAGTCACCAGAGAAAGGGGCTGTGGGAGGATGTGAACAGACTCCATAGCATAATGGAGAATAAACAGGACACGAACAGGGTCACCTCAGAGACCTTGCAAAGGTTTCTGAAGGACGTCAGGGTAAATATCTTCATACAGATACTACATGTGTCATCTTTCAGATCTGCTACTCAGGAAGAAGGAAGAACTGGTTGGGGATGTGATAATCAACGGCAGCCTTGGCTGTAACAACCATGCAGCAGTGGAGTAGTGAAGGCAAGTAGCAGAACACAGGCCCTGGGCTTCAGGAAAAACTGTCTGGATCATCAGGGTCTGAAGGTGGTGGTTAATGGTTTATACTCTAACCTGGAGGCTGATTTACAAGTGAAGTACCACAGAGGCCTATGAGACCTATCCAACTTACTATCTTTACCAATGGCCAGGAGGAGGAGCTGGAACACCCCCATCAAGCTGTGGATGAGGGAAAACTGGGGAAACGGCTGATAAGCTTGAGGGTAGAGCTGCCATTCAGAGGGAACTAGACAGACAGGAGGAATGGGACACAGGAAATTCATTAAACTCCATGAGGACAAAGTCCAGCATCAGTGATAGACTAACCTCCTGCAATGGTTCAGGTGGGGGACTGACTGTCCGGAGAACATCTCTGCAGAAAAGGATGTGGGGGTTCCAGTGGACATTAGCAATACACGAACTATGAGTGTACCTTGGTAGTGACGAAGACTAACAGCACCAATAGGATGTATTGGCTGTATGAACAGGAGCACAGACAGTAGATTGAGAGAAGTGATTACCCCCCTTTACTTAGCACTTGCTGGACCACGTTTGGGCCACTCTGGGGACCTGAATACAAGACAGACTTTGATAACTTGGAGCAAGTTCAGTGGAGTGCCACCAGGATGGCCAGAGGCTGGAGAATCTGCTCTGAGAGAGGAAACTGAAGGACACAGACTTGTTCAGATTGAAGAGGAACCTATGAGCAGCCTCCCCAGTACCTATGGAGAGGTGACCAAGAGGATGGAGTATACAGTGGTATACAACAGCAGAATGAGAGATGCAGGCATAAACTGAAACAAGAAGTTCTGACTAAGTATAAGGAAAAAATTCTTCATTATGAGGATGATTTAGCACTGGAATAGGTCATTCAGAGAGGGTGTGGAATCTTTGTTCTAAGTAGTTTTCAAGACCTGGTTGGAGAAATCCCTCAGTAGCCCAGTCTGAACTCAGAGTGGACCCTGCTTTGAAGAGGAGGATGGACAAGAGACCTCCTAATGTCCCTTTCAACCTGATTGAATCTATCTGCAATTAGTATTTTACTTTGGACTAGGAGTTTGCTTTTGAAATTGATCAGATTGCCTACACCTGTGATGCTTCAGCTTGCACTGCCTAGTTCTCTCAGCGTACACAAAATAAATTCCTTTGGGATGAAATTAACCTGAAAGGTGCGCATCAGACAATAATGAGTAGTCCAAAGAGAGAAAGCCGAAAGTATTCCCCTTTCTTCAAAACACCTAAAATGCGGATGCTAGGTACTCCGTATCATTTTGCTTAACAGATGCACTTGTATTGTGCCACACTACCGGCTAATGTAGATGCTGTCATCTGAAGAGTTATGTTTTTTTCCATTTCAGCAGATGAAAAGGAACACTAGCACACAAACCCTAACTTTTTGGCTTTTTGATGCTGACAAACTTTGTCCAGGATAGAAATGCATGTTACCTGCCTGCAAGACTGAATGTATATATCCTCACTAGAGCCATGCAGAAGTCTTTTTGCCCTTCTTAACAGTTCCTGTATATTCAAGACAAGATCTACAAACAAAGCAGCGTTTTGCCCAACTCAGGTCCTCCTGCACTGGAGGATTCCAAATAGGAGAGAAGAGCAATAAAGAAATGTGAAGTGCAAGTCCACATCAAAGTCAGGTGACAGTTCATTAATTTTTTTAAACCTTTTGCTGTATATGATAGTTTGACAAACAGGAGTTATTTGAGAAAGCCAGACTGTGAGACTTAATTAAATGTGTTGGCCCATCCAACTGAAAATTCAACACAGATGCTAGTATAACACGGTGTTTTGTAACTCTTGAACAAAGGCCCACACAGCATCTCCAAAAACTTCTGTAACAGGAAAATGCCTGCAACTCCCAAGAAAGCCACCTCTGTACACACAGGAGTGATTTAATCCCATTAACAGAGGGACACCATTTCCTTTGCAGTTCTCTTCAATATATAACCTAATCATGCAGACAGGATACCTCCTGTGCATCTCAGTGTTTTTATTCTCTAAACAGGTAGGCACCAAAGCTGATTGTGCTTATCTAACTTACTAAGGAGGAAGGAAGACAACAGCCTGGCCACCAGCATTTCCTGAACTTGGAGCTTCATAGGTCATCAGAAGTGAATGATCTGCAGGTTGTGCACAGCACAAGAGACCACCCTTCTCCTCATCAAGCCACACACTTCACAGAAGCATCTGGACATAAAGCACCCTAGAAGAACGCCACTTTAACAGCCATAGGTCTTTCCCTTTTGAAGGTTTACAAGATTACAAGATTTCTGAGCCCATACCAGAAAGCCATATAAACCAATGCAAAGAGTATGTTTATTTTAAAAACAAACCAAAACAAACAACACATTTAAAATGTCTAACATTAATCTAAACTCATATTGAAAAACAAAAGCACGGGCCTCAACAAGTTGCAATCTGGATTAATATTTTATGAATTGCATCATACTCCATTTGTTGCTACTTCAGGAAAAAAGACACCTGGTCAGTTGATCATCGTATCTACTATACAGCTACCCTCCTTTACAAAACTTAAAGGTAAACCTCTTTCTTACACAGAACTTACCAATGGCCTTTGTGTAATGTCTGGCTCCAAGTAACAGCTCTGGAGCTCTGTACCAGAATGTCACCACAACTGGATCCAGGTCTGCCAATGGCTTCAAAGGTGAGTTGAACAATCTTGCAAAACCCATATCAGCTGGGGGCACGGGGGGAAAAAACCAAAAAGAAAAATAAAATAATATTAAAAAATTTAATACAAATAAATCAGGACGTAACAGTGTTGCCAAAAAGCAATTATAACAAAAGCTCAAAACCATTAAAATTTAGAAATCAAAGTTTCTAAGAAAGCAATGAGTTACTCATAACAATGCTTGGACAAATTTACGTAAGACTGAATTCCATTTACTTAATTTATAAGACTATGAAGGATGACATTCGACTTCTAAGTGTTTTCACCATAGTATTGTAAAACTGTACATAACACAGATGCCCATTTATTTAAATAGAACTGTAACAGAAACCTGGTAAACTAAAGTCAATAGTAGTAGGTCTCTAACATACATTTTCTCTTTTATTTTTCTATATGTTTACAAAAGTATGAGCCCTTGTGACTGCTATATATCTACCTAAAGTGCAAAACCAAAACAATTGCAGTGTAGATTGTTTTGCACTAATTTTCAAATTATGGCTCCTACTTGATTTGGAAGAATGAACTCCAGAATCAGGAAAAAGTTTTTAACTGGGAACTAATGGAATCGGTGAGTGTACACTGTTACAGAGGTGTATTTGAAATGTAAGCATTCATTTTATATAACTAAAAAATTCTGTCTAGAAACAACCTTGTAAGTAAGATTATGAAATGCTAGATGGGAAAGTACAAAAATTGTGTGTATATTCAAAAATCACACATTTTAATACAAGTCTGAAACTTATATTTTACATAACTTCACCTAAATCTTTCTGCTTCTGAAGTTATGAAATGCCAAGTGTAATTTTCTTACAGCTACCCATACTAACACATGCATATGAAATCAGAAATGGTTAGCTGAACATTTTCAAACACAACAAAAATCAATGAATAGAAAAGAGATTCCAGTATATCATTTCTTTCTTGATGACTGCCACATGCTTTGTTAAAATAAAGTTTATAACCACATGACTCGGGCTTATGATTTGCACAGGTAATTACCTGTGTTTCCCACCTTGACGCCGAATAGCCTTTCGCATAGCAAACCTTTGGGCCTCTACAAACATGGGCATTGATATTATTTATATAAAAATAATTAAGAACAAATACAATTTATACGTAACAATGTTATACTAGCTAACCATAGTAGAAGTAAAAACAACCCCGGCCACAACCATGTGCTTATTACTTTCTTGCTTCTTACAAGTGCTTTTATCTCACTAGATATCCTTGAAAAGCTTTATAAATGTCTAATAATATGTTTGGAATCTCTTAAGCTTGTACATTTAGTGAATGAGATTTAAAATTGAACTAGATGTTGTGCATACATACACGCTCAAAGCATAATGAAGATTTGTTTCTATCTTGTACTGAAGAAGTAATTTTTAAAGTAAATCTTTATCTGTGTAATGAAATTTTCTCAAAATGTTTACCTATTTTCACTCTTCCTCTTTCAGGACCTTCACCCATTACCAGAATGTTTGCTGGTTTCTGGAAAACAAAAAGCAGAATATGTAGTTGACCAGCCTTTGATGATTACCTTTGAGAATAATAAAATTGTATAATTTATTTTATAATGAAAACATTTCTATAAACATCCTTACATGTAAAGTAATAAGGTATAAATACCCTTAGTCTAAAACTACCATACCTTTATGTTTTGCTGACATTTAGTTTTTATCCCTAGTTACCAATTTCACAATTAGAAAAACAGTACTTTAACATTTCACAAGAAGAAATGCAATCTTTAATTAAATTTGCATTTCTATTTTTACCAGAATGATCACACTGATTGGCAAGATTTTCTTCTACAGGAAAATTTTATACCAGGTTAACATTTTTGCTACATATCGACAACCTGGCAAGAACTACTTTTGCTAGTATAGCTTATTCAAAATTATGCCAACTCTTGTTATGCAAAATCATAGATGAGAGTTGCTTTTGTTATCATCATATATAACCACATTTTTAGAGCTGTGCTTGTTTTTAGTGTATGATAAAAACCACACTGGCAAAAGCATATTTTTTCAACAAAGTAAGTTGATTTCATGCTATGAGAATTCACTTAAAACAGGAGTATACAGACAGCTACATCCACAAGCTTTGGACAGTGTAGACAGCAGCTTTACAAGTAGAACAATCTGCAGTTGTTCATAATCAGCCACTTGTGAACATCATATAAAATCTGCACATGACATCACGGCAGTTGTTCTGCAATGAGGATCTACGTTCCCTCAGACATCAATAGCCATTTCTTGGAAGCTTTTCCCCTATTGTGTTAACAGCTGTAAAGAAGTAAACAAGATGGAAAACATTAAGTGATTTGAATGAAGAGACACAGAGTTTGAAAGCAGAGTTTTTGGAAGGATTATCCAAACATTAATTATATTTCATGTTCTCCCTAATGCCTGGAGAGGTCTGAAAATGTAGAAGAATCTAAAAGTCCAGAAAGCCAACATCAGAATCTCACTTAACTTCTCAGTTCCTAACACTCGCCACTACTTACCTGAATTGAGACACTCAAACTAGTGCTACTAATTTGTCTCAAAATTGCAAATCCTTAGCTTTTTTGAAAAAACAAAATAAACCATATAAAAAAGAAACAAAAAACACTACTTCACCTATTTTTTTGCCTTCCCTTCCCACCTCACCCTCAGAGGTAGCCATTGCTTCTTCCCTGGCTCCAGCCACAGCCTCTCTTTCCAATCCTGCTCCAGATGTCATTGCCTCTTTTACTCCTCCTTTTTAAATTTCAGGATATTTCTCAACACCATCCCTGACTTCTCATTCCCCAACATATTTTTGGAACCCTTCAAGAGGGGATATGCACTCCCTTCTTGAGAACACAGTTTTAATTGATCTCGAGTAAACGCTCACCAGCAAATCTAGGAAAGACAAGATGATGCTTGTGCTTAGCTAATATTTAATGATAATGAAAACAACACTTCAAGGCAACTGGTCAAACTCTGGGTTTACATTTATGTATTACCCTGAACTGAATATTCTGAAGAACAGAACAATTCCATCCTGCATATTCAGAAACCAGGCAGCAAGGGAAGCATGCAAGTTTGCACTACACTTTACCTCTTTCAGAAATCACATAGCTAAAATTGTCCCATCTTCATGAACCTCCTCTGGACTTGCTCTAAGTAGTCTAAGAGGGCCTCTAATACAGCCCCCAACATAAGAAGGAGAAGGACCTGTTGGAGCAAGTCCAGAGGAGGGTCACAAAGATGGTCAGAGAGCTGGAGCACCTCCCGTACGAAGACCAGCTGAGAGAGTTGGGCTTGTTCAGCCTGGAGAAGAGAAGGCTCTGGGGAGACCTTATAGCAGCCTTACAGTACCTAAAGGGGGCCTACAGAAAAGATGGGCACAAACTTTAACAGGGCTTGTTGCATCAGGACAAGGGTTAATGGTTTGAAACTAAAAGAGCATGGATTCAGGCTAGATATTCGGAAGAAATTTTTCATTGTGAGGGTGGTGAGGCACTGGAATAGGTTGCCAAGAGAAGCTGTGGATGCCCCATCCCTGGAGGTGTTCAAGGCCAGGCTGGATGAGGCTCTGAGTAAACCTGATCTAGTGGAGGGTGTCCCTGCTCATTGTGGGGGGGTTGGACTAGATGACCGTTAAAGGTCCTTTCCAACCCCAACCATTCTATGATTCTATAATATCTGAAACAAATCCTACTGTCATCCATAAGATGAAGAAAATGGGGGTTTAGGTAGAGGAAAACACAAGAGCCCAAACAGCAAAGAGATCAAAATCTGACACATGCTTAGAGTAAGTCATGTCTCTTTCCTAAGAGGTCAGAATTTCATTCATGAAAGTTTGAGAAGCCTTGCTTAAAATCATTAACTAACTCCTTAGCAAAGGCAGAGGTAACTCAACAAGGACTACACTTCTGAACCAGTTACATCCCAATTAATACTCTCTGTATTTTCCTCAAACTCTCCCCTTGCTGAGAACACCAAACACCAGCTGGGAGGCCAAGCGATGCTGCTGCATTGCCACCTATCTAGTTGCTATAGAAACAACAGTCTCTCATTTAAGATCAGCTATAAAAATGAACAGAGAAATCCCTGATGAGAAATGCAGTTGAGGTTTGACTGTCTAAAGAATATATGCAAAAAGAGCAAAGTCAATGGCAATAAATGACTGGAGCAAAAATCTTAAATATCTGCTAAAAAGGATGTAGATGACAATTTAATGGGTTCTTTACAAGTAATAAGCATGGATAATGTATTTACTTTTCCACATCAGTGGGAAAATGGGAATAAAGCAATTAACAGGTCTTAGTGGGAGAGAAATGTAAATGTTGGGCAAAAAAGTATGTTTTCATAAATATTAGAAGTATCATGAATGGAACTCCTATCGACATCCATGTTACCTTAATCAATATGTTTCTGATTTAAATATTTAGACAGTAGATTAGAATAAAGGTTGAAGGAAAAGAAACCACCTATGGTCTTGAAAGAGCAAAATGGGTCAAAACAGGAACAACAGCCTAACAATAGATGACAATACTTTAGTTTTAACGGTTATTGTTGTTATCTCCTCAAGTACAGCAGTGACACAATTCTTAAGAGATTTGGTGCAGAATTACTTTCCTGTGAGAAAATGTCCACAGGGACATAACACTTTCCATACACCATTCTTTATTGTTTATATCCAAACAAATGTGTTTCCCTTTTGGAATGTATCACTCGACAAAGAATAATCTGAAATTAAGAGGCTTCTATTGTAAAAGAGATTGGAAGCCTTCTAGATAAAAGCTCTCCCCACAATTAAAGAAACTGGCTTGTGGTGAGGTCTTTTCAAGTCTCAATTACGTAAAACAGCAATTGTAAACAGCACAGTGTTGATACACAGATGTGCTTTCAATTCAGAAGCCAAAACAAGAGCAGTGGTGATTTCATTGGAGCTTTTAGCACACTGCTCCACAAATGACAAAGGTCCTAAATGAGCTAACAGTGTTCCGCTCCACAAACATTGTTCAAAAGACAACTGAGCCTTTAAATCCAAGATTAAGAGGGAGAAGCAGATTGTTCACAGAAATTTGCAAACAAAGCTTTTGTTCTTCTCATCTGCAAGGAAATGTAGGCACTTTCCTGCCTTAAGTCTATGCTATTCAAACCCAGACGTTGTCTTCAGATCAATATACTGCATACTGGTACTAACACTTTTGATAACAATTGATCTAATTAATGGAGAATTTAAAAAAGAAATTGTTCTTAAAAGATTTTATTATGCATTGCAACCCTCCACATTATTATCACTTCCATTTGAATTACTTCCATTGAAAATACATACAGAAAAACTGTTACCATCATGTCCCTCTCCTTCTTTAGAAAACCACTTGGTCAACATTTGTCTAGTGCTTCAGTATCAGAAAAAAAGTATACCATATAGAGTAAAACATCTTCATGAAGCTCTTGGAACGAGTCCAGAGGAGGGCCACAAAGATGATCAGAGGGCTGGAGCACCTCTCCTATGAAGAAAGGTTGAGGGAACTGGGCTTGTTTAGCTTGGAGAAGAGAAGGCTCCGGGGAGACCTCACTGCAGCCTTCCAGTACTTGAAGGGAGCCTATAAACAGGAGGGGGAGCAACTATTTACAGCGGTTGACAGTGACAGGATGAGGGGGAATGGTTTCAAACTAAGAGAGGGGAGACTTAGGTTGGATATTAGGTGGAAATTTTTCACTGTGAGGGTGGTGAGGCACTGGAACAGGTTGCCCAGAGAAGCTGTGGATGCCCCATCCCTGGAGGTGTTCAAGGCCAGGCTGGATGGGGCCCTGGGCAGCCTGCTCTAGTGGTTGGCAACCCTGCCCACAGCAGGGGGGTTGAAACTAGATGATCTTAAGGTCCTTTTCAACCCAGGCCATTCTATGATGCTATGGTCTTCACACCTGCTTCTTTTTAGAAGCCTTATATATTGCGAACTCATACTACAGTCACTGCTCTGATTACACAAACACACTTTGAACTTGTTTTTTGTCAGCTGTTATCCTTAACTTTACAAAAAACTCCACCCTATTTCACTATATTTTTTGCCTAGATTTGTAATTCATACAATTTTCTTCTACTGTTTCTGTCCTCTGCTGAAAGTATTGACCTTGTAAAGCAATACCATTAACAAATCCCGTCAAGATATTTGTCATTTCACCCAAATCAATAATGTTTCTAAATATACTATCAAATTGAGCAAGGCCAAATATAAACCTGATTACTACAGGACATGATCTAAAAAGGCAGTAAAATCACAAGGAATGCAAAATGCTTTGAAATAGTAGATCACTCAACTAAACTCAAAACTCATTTAAATCTAAAAAGGATGAAAAAATCAGAGCAATCACGTTAAGTAAATATATGACAACACAGGAAGCAAGGAGAACCACAGAAAGCTTTTATAGCTAAATTGAAAAAAAAGTCCAAAAGTTACTACGCAATAAAAAATGAAAATACAAATATGCACATGTAAAATTTTACAGTTA